GAAGAAGGACTACTGTCAACCCCAGGTAAGGTGGCCATGGCTGATGTGGTTACTAAGAACATGAGTATTTTAAGAAGTCTGGTGAGAGAAGTTAGAATTACCATCAGCTACAATGAGATACTGGTACAACCTTTTCTGATCTTGTACCATAGGGACCACAGGAAGAGCAAGGAGGAAGGATAAACTCAAGGAAAGCCAACAACGTGCTTGAAAGAGCCCAGGACAAGGTTTACCACACTTCTCTCCAAGAAATCATGCACCTCTTTTGTCCATATGGGAAGCTGGAGACAGGAAGGATAGTGAAGTGCTACTAATGCACTCCTCCAGGACTCGGAGGGCACCCTGACCTCAAATAGCTTGTATGGTCAGTAGGTCTCCAGCCAAGGCAGGGCCACACGATCTACCTTCTCCTCCATTCCACCTCCTCAAGCCCAGATCACTGCAGGTCGCCGATTGCAGGCGATACTTCCCCACCGCCCTCCCCTGCTACGGCACTGTCGCTCTGCTGCTCCCCATCCTCATGCTCCCCCCAGCACCTGCCAAGGACTTCCCACCCCTGAGCTCCCCACCACCGCAATCCTGCTCTCTCTTTCCAAATTCACTCTCAAAGCACGGTAATAGGGAGGGAACGGATGTGCCGAGTGCTAGGATAGCGCAAGGTGAAATCCAGCAGCCTAACAAATACCAACCACGGTCACAACGTCAGCTGGGGAGGGGGGCTTGGTGCATAAGGGTCCCCTGTATGAAAGGGAGAGATTGTGAAACCGTTTGAAGGCCCCAAGGGGTTGACTGTTTAACACCCAGTTTAGATCTGCAACACAAACAGCTGACCCTAAAAAGGAGGATAAGTTCATTTTCAAACCCTTATGTCCACCACAACCGCACTGACAACAATATGGTGAGAAAGAGACCTCTCTACCGAACTCCAGGCCTGTGTTACGTGTCATCTGTGCCAAACACAGTTACAAACCCTGTTGACACTCAGCTGTCACTCAGGACTGAACATAATCCTGTTTGACAAACCCGCCTGTTTTATTCACTTGCCAACTACCCGGGTTTGAGAATTTCAGAGGCTTGCTCCTACAACCCCGATGTTGCCTATCTGGCGTATCGATGTATGTAGGTTCAATTTAAAAAGAAAACCTATTTTTAAAATTCAAATTTTAAAGGCAGTGCATTTT